CCCATGGTCCGTGCGTGGAGGTTGGCGTCCTTGTCCCGCAGCTAGGTGCTTTGAATCCAACTTTTTTGGTTGGGAGGGTTCCCTTAAATAGACTACAGAAAAAAAAGGGTACCCATATTCTAACCTCTATTCTGGAGGACCTAGGCTCATTCAAAGATGACGAATCTTGGGATGAGTTTGTTTTTCTTCCTTGGTTTCAGGATTACCCTCCCGCCAATTCACATGGAACCTGACGTTCGGTGGGAGACAATTTTCCCTTTAAAGGGACAGGTTACATGGTAATTGGTGGGAGGGTAGTTGGTACAACTATGCTCTGTGCTGAACCAAATGGCAGAGTTAAGATGTCGGGCCTAGCGCCCTGAAATCTCAAGAGATTGCAAGCAGCTGAAAGTAAGGCAAATCCAGCAACCACAAACCACGGACCAATTCTCATGGTGTTTAACTTGCCTTTTTCTTGCTGTATTTGTGTGAACCATGTCGCTTAGCAATCTGAAAGGGTTGGCAACTGGCAACGTGCGGTTTGTTCCCCACGAAGGGATCGAGTTCTGGCCCACACCGCAGGTTGGCTTTGTGAATGGGAGGCTGATTTATGAGACACGGCTATAGCATGTTGCGCATGGAAGAATTCGCAATTTGGGCTGCCATGCCTTTGTTTTTGAGGAGCTTGGACAGTTACTCGGACAAAGTCCACGCCTTTCGGCACCAGTTGAAATGGATAAAACCAGATTTGAATACTGCCTGGAGTCTCCATGATCCTTGAAAATGAGGGCCGCCATTTTGCTTTTGAGTGAAGATCCCATTCTTGGGTGGCACTGAACACGGGAAGCTTTGGGTTCCGAGGGGCGCACGAATCCGTGCAAAAAAGCTCAACCCTCTGGCCAGCGATTTGTGGGAGGGTCGATCTTCGCGTTGAAAGAGCAGCATGTTGTTTGAAAAGTGCATGACAGGCCCCCTGAGCTTCAAGACAATTTGTGGCACCTGGGTCTACCGTTTCTGGACCACGCAAAGGGCAGACAAAGGGCAGACATTGCAACCTGGTGACTCTTTGGGCTGGGCCGTCTTTGGAACCCTTAAAGTGCCCGCTTGCCAGGTCTGCTCTACGGCTCTGAATCAGTATTGGGTGCATGTTCCGCACAAAGCAGGACCCCTGATTGGATAGGGTGCCTGCTTTTTGGGAATCCTTCACTTTTGTGGGTGGCCCCCATTTGCTGTAGTAGGATGCTCCGGTGTTCTTGGCAAGTTTCTGGCTTTTGGGTTTTCGGTTCTGTTCATGTTAGTCGGCTGAAAAAAAGCAGAACCCGTATTTTGCCATGCCAAGGGTTGTGAAGGGTTGTTCCTCGGTACCCAGGTCTTGGAGCGGAGGGTTCAATATGTGCCCTTCGACATCACAGGCTGAGCGGGTCATTCAGCTGACCCACAGTCGTTCTGCCGACACGCTTTGCACTTGACGTTTCTAGCATGCCACGGCCCTTCTCCGGGTACTTGGCACAGAGTATCTAGTTGCCCTTAAAGGACAACACCAGGGGATGCTTACTGTCAGGTGTCTTCCCAACCCCCTTAGTTGCAGTACCTGGATTCTCGTCACGACATCACTTTTACTTATATAGATATGTATATTATGCATTGTTTATGTACATCCATCCTTGTGCATGACCCTGGCGTTTGTACATCAAGGCTTGAGCCTATCTACATGATAGAGCCTACAGCCCTCGCCCGCTGAGTACAACAAGTGCCGCGCTATCACATCACAGGTTTGACACATTTAGGTCATCAGGTGTTTACACAGTTAGTTCCACTTTAACATGGTAGCAGAGCAGTGATCCCTGGTACACGATCCACGACCACAACCCAGGGTGAGCTCCATCACGCACCCACAGGTTTAGGTACACAGTAGTGAGCAACATGGCACAACAACAGCAGCAACAGGAACAACAGCAGTTGGAAGGAGTCCACAGATACAAGATATCACCACCGCGGTTCACAGGAGAATACAACACCTTCGAAGAATGGAAGTACAAGATGGCATCATACTTGGGATTACAAGACCCAGCATACAACAGACTGTTGAAACAGTCAGAGCAATCAACAGGACAAGTTAGAAATGACCAACTTGAGAATGCAGCACCTTCACAAGCAGTAGCAGAGCAATGAGTACATCTGAGCAACAATCTACACTACCTCTTGGTGAGCACATGCGATGGACCAGCATCTACAATTTGCAGGCAACACATGCAAGGCAACGGATTTGAAACATGGCGGCTGCCACTTGGCACACGAAGTATTGGGTACCTCACAAGGTTACTCAAGCCACAACTTGATGAACAGAAGTTCGAAGAGAGCTTCACAACATGGGAGTTTCAACTCTCCAGGTACGAACAAGACAACAGCACACTACTACCAGATGCAGTCAAGTTTACAATGCTGCTCAATGAGACAAAAGGACCACTACAGCAACATCTACAATTTCAAGTAGGAAACATCACAACATATGCACAGATCA